CTGATTGATTCAACCTCAGAAGGCAAAACCAAACAGCTGTGCAGCTTTTTATACGTCAGGTTACACAGTGGACTGAAGACAGTACAGGTGGAACTCTGATCCACTCTCAGCACCTTTCATAGGGACTATTTCTTTGGTTTGAAAGTAGTCACTATGAAAACTGTTCATCTTGTATTCTGTGAATTATCCAGGGGCTTCGTAATTACGCTTATTCATTCATTAAAAGTCGTATTTCCTCTTTATTTCATCAACGCTGTTGGAAATTCAGGCATGGGATCATGGGAGTTGTTGCCTTCAGCACCACTGCCTTCACTGCAGTCTGCTCGTGAGGATTTTACCAGGCGCTGAATTATCTACAGAGGGCTCCTCTCCAAAATAAACCAGACCCGAGAATTAAACCAGTAAAAACATTGAAATCTCTGATGCAGTTTGGTGGAAACTGGACCGGTTTCTTCACATATGTCCAATGACTAAAATCCTTCATCCAGCTAAAATATAGTTAAAAAGTATATCATAAAATGTGGTTGAAAACTGGATAAAGACTCCGACACATAGGTATGATGCCATTGACAGGCGACCAAATGAAACGCGCCGTTACCTTGATTCAAACTACGGATTTCTTTGGTTTTGAACATTGTTTGAAGTACAGCTCATTAAAATATACATAGTGGTTTTTAAACATTTTAATGCAGGAAAGGTACATAATATATCTTTAAATGTTCATTTTGCCAGCCAAAAAAAAAAAAACACACTTCCCACATATCATTTGAAGTATGTAAAAGTTGTACTCTAAAGCACCCGTACTGTATGTCCCAGTGCAACACCAGTTATTTGCTTATGCAGAGAATGAAATGAAATGTGTTTTAAACCAGTGCCAGTAAATACTTGAATAATGTGAGCCACCGAGCACCTCATTGAAAGGCGTTATAACGTTACGCAGGAGCATCAAAGAACCAGCCTGTTACACACTTACATTCAATAAACATAAACTGATTTTTAATTAAATTTCTGTTTGTGCTGCAGCTTAAAGAGGTCATACTCTGCTTTTTGGCTTTTATCCTTTATTGTGTTATATATCTTTTTTGTGCATGTAATAGGTTTGCAAAGTGAAAAAGCCAAAAGAGAGTTCCCATCTCCCACAGAAAACTCTGCCCCTGAACTGCCTGAAAACAGCTGGATTGCAGTCCAGCATTTATCTGCGTCACTATGTAACACGCGCCATATCCGTGTGACATAGTGACGCAAAAACACTGGTGGAGAAACACACTGAGCTGCAGCACACACAGTGACAAGACGTTATTACGTAGGAACTGCGCACGTGCAACTCCCAAAAAGATCAAATAGAAGTGAGATGCTTCACTCCGTAGCTAAAACGGACCGTTCAACACACAGGGTGAAAATAGTTGCTGCAGCAATGTGCAGTACTACAACACAAATATGGTATTTCTTGAAAATTAAACCATGTAAACATATTCTGGTATATTTTATTTATTTACTTATTTAAACGAGCGTTCTCTGCTTCACTTCTTTTGAGAGGCCAGTATTTTATAACTCACTGGATTAGGAAAAATAAAGTTGTGCACTAATCTAACTCGAAGGCCGGCTGGTTCATTCTCTGTGCGCTGCTGCTTAATACTGTATTTTATAACTCTTTCAGTGAAAAACATTGCAGGACAGACACTTTATAGTACGTCCTGTTTTGTTTGTGCAGATACAGCACAGGTAAGTGTGTGAACTGAGCCTGTAACTCAAAGTGAGATTATTTATTTCTGTCTTCAGAGCAGCTCTGCCTCTAACAGATGTCCAATCCGTAAGCAGAAGATTCACATTCCTCCACACAGACATGTACAACAGGTGTTATGAGTGAACACATGATGCACTTTATGTTTTACCGTTACTTTTCAGATCACAGCTCTTCAGGTCCAATCTGTCTTAATTGCACTGGTGATAGATAAATAGAAGTTAACTTAGCTTAGTTGTGTCTGAACTGGCTGCAGAGAATATTCACAGTGATAACACAAACATGGTCTTGTCGTACCGCAGTCTTAATACTTAACGGTGAAACATGTAGGATATTAAATAAAGTCTTTTTAGAGTGGAGGCTGGCTGTGTGAAAAAGCATTAGCACTTTATGACCTTATGCTTGATTCTTGTGTTTTACTTTACTTTATTAAAGGAGATAGTTACTGATCCAAATCCCATTGTTAGAGAAAACATATAAAACTATGCAATATTTGAAAGCTTTGTGAAACTTCGTCCATTAAAACATGTGCAGCTCTTTATCTTTGGCGTATCTATTATATTTGTTAAGATTTATTGTGTTAAATGTATTTAATTAAGTTGTTTTGAACGTCCATCATAATCGCTGGGCGAGTATTTTCGACAGCTCAGCCTCTGATTGGTTAACAGTCGTTGGCTCGGTTGGTTAGGATTGGTTAAGGTCAGCGTAAGGGTGGGACTAGGGTTAGAGGTAGCCAATCAGAGGCAGAGTAAGGGGGCGGGACTTTGACTCAAAGCTCGTGTCCCGTCGAATTAGATTTGCCGAATGTGTGGGCAGGACTGATGACGCGTTTTACGTCACAGATGAAAACCAAAACACTGGCTGCTGCTGTTAGCACCTAGCTAAAACACGATTATAGCTAATTTTATATAACAGCAGCTACGAAGGATCCGTCGTCAAACACACCGACACAGGTGTGTGAATATAATGTTGTTGATTATGTAGCTTAGTTTACGTGCGTGTTAAGGAGCTAATAGCTCGGTGAAATAATGTTTCATTGTGTTTGTTAGCTTCATCGTGGCAGCTAACGCTAACGCTACTTAGACTGTGTGACAAAAGCTGCAGCGACGTTACGACTCGGACACTTTAGGGGATAAAAATGATAATTAGGAATTAAATGGGAAAAGGTGATAAACGTCAGAAAGGTAGATACGGTTAGCTACACGTTAGCAGTGATTCTCACAGGACAGCTGCTAAGTTTTTGTCTTGCGATAGAAACAAAGACGTAACGTTAAGTTAACACATTAAAGACAGGTGGGATAAAGATCCTGACTACGCAGTAACTTAGTGTGACTGTTTTGGGGTGTTAAATGTTCATCAGCTGGCCCCTCATGCATGTTAGAAAACCCTGTCCTTCCAGTTCCAGCCAGCTAAACCCACCTCCCCAAAACTCCTCTCTCTCACCTTTAGATCTCTCACAGTTAGCTCTTAATTACTTTTAATAATTTAGTTTGAATTATATAATTAGGCAATTATTTTTATTGAAAATCAAATGCATGTTTTAAACAACGTCCACAACCTGTGCTGTATGCACATCATGCAGTTTAATTCAATTATAGTAATGTTAATGATGATGATAATATTGGGAGTGGTAATAGTTGAGGATAGAAGGACGAGAAAGCACAAGACTAGAAGTGAACATGCATTAATGGGATGAGGTTGTAAACAGAAGGAAAGAGAGAGGAGCTCAGTGCATCATGGGAAGTCTCTCTGCAGTCTTGGCCTTTATGGCAGCATAAATAAGGGATGGTTCAGCCCTAAATGTAAGCTTCAGTCCACAAGTCGGTACAAATATTGCAAACTAATTTGGCTTACATCAGTCAGTACAATAATAGTCCATGAACACAGTGTTACAGGCGCAGGCCGTGTGGACGGATAATAAAACCTGCAAAACAGGAGAAATGAACAACACTGGAGACTTGCTGCCGTTGGTCTTGCCAGAATTTATGTAATAAATACAGTTATTTAAGTCGATCAATAAAGTCTTTTTTTCACGACACTCATTTTCCAACTAAGTTACTAAATTACAATAAGTTAATCAAAAAAAACACAGTTCCTTACACAAATATGATAAATAATCCACCTACTCATCGCCCCTTGTTCGACCCTTTAGAAGGGAATATGAACCTTTTCACCATTTACAGTGTGCTTCCGTGGGCGCTGACATTGCTTTGTGACGTCATTCAGCTGCTACTCGTGAAGCTGGGGTACATATATTTTTCCCTGAGTTCACAAGTAGGTAATCCGACGTCAAGTGGCGTTCCACAGTACTTTTTCTTGTTGGAGATCGGTAATTTCAGAGTTCCGCGTCACCTGGAACGCAGCATTAGATGTCAGTTTTCCAGTCAGGATTTCGACCCACGTCACATCACAGCACTAACTGCTCTCCTCGAGCTCTTAAATGACACCAGCTTCAACTGTTTTCGATGTTTTTGTCTCAGTTCCTGTCGTGCCTGTTGGATCCGAGCGTCAGGATAGGGAAGCAAAGTGAAGGGGCAGCTGCCGCCGGCGCAGCGAGCCTGGTGGACAGGATGTCAGAAAGTCCAGAGAAGAGCGCCTCGGTGTCGGCTCAGGAGCTGAAGGAGCAGGGCAACCGCCTCTTTCTGAACCGCAAGTACCTGGAGGCCGCTGCCTGCTACAGCAAAGCTATAGTAAGGACCAGGACTGTCTGTCTGCTGCTGTATGTTCAATTTAACGTTTAAAGAGCAACTGCTGTGTGTATACAACATACAGGAGTTTCTCCTAAAGATGTCTCCTAAAATTATACACTTTTTAATCTTAGTATTGTGCTTAATGGTAATACTGAGAGCCCTTCCCTTACGCTTACATTTTTTCACATATTGTCTTTATACGTCAACAGCTTTACGACAAACTGAGACGGACCTAGGCTAGTGTGGTTATTAAAGTCAGAGAGACAAGAGTCAAACCGGACTAAGGGCCTCGTTTCCTGCCCCAGTCTGCAGTGCAGGAAATATCAGATTTTAGATTTGGCAAGAGGATCAGGTGTCTGTACTGTGAGTTGAGGTTTTGTGTTCAGCATCTGGAGAGAGAGAGACAGTTGGATGGGTGCCCCCTTACAGTACTCGTGTCTGGTCTTTTCCCCTCTTTTAGAGCCACAGTCCCGCGGTCCCGGCGTACTACACCAACAGAGCGCTGTGCTACGTGAAGCTGCAGCAGTACGACAAAGCCCTGGCAGACTGCAGACTCGCTCTGGAGCTGGACAGCCAGTCGGTGAAAGCTCACTTCTTCATGGGCCAGTGTCACCTGGAGATGGAGAGTTATGACGAAGCCATCGGCAACCTGCAGAAAGGCACGTGGGATTTAACTTGCGTTGTTAGCGACATCTAAAGCGTGTACCGCGTTTTTTAGCAGTGGTGCAATGTAACGAAGTACTTGAGTGACTTGTACTTTCCATTGCATGCCACTTTCTACTTCTACTCCACTACTCAGAGAGAAATATTGTACAGGTTTAGTTAATAGTTACTTTGCAAATTCAGATTTTATATACACAAAACATATGAAGAACTTTTGAAAAATGATGCACTGTAAAAAGGAAACAGTTGATAACATCTGCAACTATTTTGATAAATGAAAATAGCTTCATCAATGATTTCGGCTTCTCAAATGTGACAATTTGCTTTTCAGTAAACAGGGGATGCACCAATCTTTACCTTTTTTAGTCCCGGTACGGATACCAGTACCTGGACTTTGGGTATCTGCTAATGCAGAGTGCAAATCCCCGCACCAAGTTCCTGTCAGCTTTTACAGAGGAGCAACAGAAAGCGTCCAGACTGGAAACATCACTAACATGGGATGTGCACGGCCCAGGACCGGAGGGCTCTGCAGAAGGGGGATTAAAACTGCTCAGAAGATCATTGGTACCCATCTCCAGAGCATCAGTGATATCGGTGAGGTGCCTACACAAAGCCCAAAGGATATTAAATGACGGTACCCACCCAGCCACAGCCTGTTCACCCTGCTGCCTTCTGGGAAGAGATAGAAGTGTCTGCTGCAGCACCACCAGACTGCAGAGCAGCTTTTCCCCCCAAACAATCAGACTCTTAGACTCTAATTCATCCTCAGCGCTGCTCCATTGATAGTTTATTTCTGTTTACCATTTTCTATAATTGCTTTTAAATTACTGTATATTGTCTGCTCTGTAGCAGAAGGGAGTTACAAACGCAGTTTCACTTTACAACTTGTGACAAGTAAACCTACCATCTACATCGTACCTTCTACCTTTGAATTGTTTTTCTCCAGCTTATAACCTGGCAAAGGAGCAGCGGCTGAACTTTGGCGACGACATTCCCAGCGCTCTGCGGATAGCGAAGAAGAAACGGTGGAACAACATGGAAGAGAGGAGGATCAACCAGGAGAGCGAGCTGCACGCCTACCTCACCAAACTCATCCACGCTGAGAAAAAGAGGCACGTCGATCTAGAAAACGTGACACGCTGAAATAGATCAGGTGCTTTCTTCTCCCCCAGACGGACTCCTGATCCTTAATTAAATTGAAGTGTGTGTTGTTTAATCTGCAGGGAGCTGGAGGGCTGCCGGCAGAAGCAAGAAGACAAGTCAGACGACGGCAGAATTCAACACAGTCTGAATGAGATCCACACAAAACATGTAGGTTTTTTTCTTTTATTACGAGAGCTTTGTTGACTTTTAAAAATCATTTTTAAAATTGAAAATCACCCCAGGTGTCCGTATTGTTCTTTTATTTTTAAGTTAACTTTTATTTTTCCAGTGTAGTCGTGTAGCTTGGGAAATGGATTTCCAGTGTTTGAGGTTAAGTTTCTTTTTTTGTGCCCTTTTTTTCATTTTATGTTGTTTTTGGGGGGGTTAAGACAAAATAATCATAAACACATAAAGACATAGTCCCCAAAACACTGGTCTCCTTTCTCCTCAGAAATTGTAGTGAATCAAAATAAGATAAAGAGAAGATAAAAACAAAATTACAGATAAATAAAATATACATCTTACTAATTAAATACATTATTAATTCCATCAAACCTCACCTCCCCATCCACCCTTCCCTGTGGCCTAAGTACTTTTTTACAGTACTCTTTATAGTTATAGTTAAATCGTGAACTAGCATATCAACATTGTTAGTTACAGTATTTTATGGAGTTACAAATAATTAACAATTTGAATAGACATAAATGGGATTAAAAAAAAACAGATAAACAAATAAATACATTTTATAGTAAAAGCAAAAAAAAAATAGTCATAACAGTTCATATAAAAACGAGTTTGAGTTTCTTAAATGCAGTTTAGATTTCGAATCATTAAGCTGACTTTAAATTACTTTGTTCAGTTCAATACAAATTAATTCTGTTTGCATTTACATTTGAAATGTACATATTTACATAAAAGCCTGCAGCTCTCGTGTCTCAGTCTGCAGCTGCTCTGCTGTTGCTGACACTTGTGTTCTTATTAAAAATGAACCAGATTGTCGCCTGCAGTTTGAACCGCATCACAAACACCTATATTAGTTGACTGATGTTAGTGACGCCCAGTGACATTAAAATCTGCAGTGTTTGAAACGTACTTATACTAACCGCTTCAAATTCATCACAGCTCACTCACCTCCGTTCAGACTCTACTAGTAGTGCCAGAGTTGCAGCTGGCAGACAGTGGGCCTTTCTCATTTCCCAAATTTGCGCCTCCTCGAGCCTGTGACCCGGGAAACGATCTCCGCGCTCCATCTTGAAGGACATCTCAGTTCTTAAAATGCACCTAGAGGAGCGAGGATCGAGGAGGCTTTCTGGAGGAGCTGTAAGCGAGGATACAGCGGCGTATCCTTTGCGGAAGTCTTTTCAGCCGCTGTGATGATTAAATAAGGCGTGACACGTAGCAGGACCAACCCGTGGCCGGAGCAGGACTTGTATTCGTAAGTTGTAATTCTGTTTTCAATTCAAATTAGCTTTGTTGGCATGAATGATTATGAGTTTTCTCTGTCTGTTTATTACTGCAGGCTTTTGTTTTGACTTAACTGCACGGATGGAAACGTTTAAATGACTTGACAACATCCTCTCTGATCATCAAAGTAAAAACACTCATCCATCAATATAACACAATAAAGAAATCACCTGCAAAACTGCAGCGGCTTTCTGGAGATATGATCTGTAGTCTTTATTGCCAAAAACTGGTCTGCTGCTCTGACAGATGGACAGATGATGCAGCTGTGCAACAGGTCAGATTTAACTGACCTTTAAAATGACGCTCCGAGAAAAAGGACATCTCTTTTCGTTAAACGCCCGTTCCCTCGAATCCTCGAGCTCGTATCACGGGTGGGAGGGACTAAGACGCGACGCAAGGGGGTCGAGGATCGAGGAGGCACAAATTTGGGAAATGAGAAAGGCCCAGTGTGTGAAACAGGTATCCTCCATATCACTCTTTCACATTAACAGAGAACACACAAACCTGACGCCTCTGCATGGATCTTACTGCTCAACACTGTGTGGAGCCTAAAGATCATCTGTAGGAACAACCGGCCGTACTCAGATCTGCGCCTGTTATTCAGTTCAAAACACTAAAAGGTCTATATAAGGCAAAAAGCTCGTCACATAATGACCGCCTGCTGGAGTCATCATATACATTTATTCATATTCTCATCATATTCATATGTCCAGTTTATTAGTAGGAGTGGGGGAAAAAATCAATACAGCACAGTATCGTGATATTTTCCTCGGCAATACTGTATCGATGCACAGAAGCCAAGTATCGATCTTTTATTATATAAATTACACATGAGAATTTGACTTTTTTGGTACTATAATAATAAAATCAATTGTTTTTTCAGGCCACTAGAAAAAGAGTTTTCCTTTGGGGATACAATTTAAAGTTGGAAAAAAGTGATAAATTCCAATACATCGAAATATGTTTAAAATCCCAATTATATGACGTATAAGTATCATGATAATATCGTATCGTGGGGCCTCCGGTGGTTCCCACCCCTATTTATTAGGTACACTCCATTTCTGTAGAACAAAGCTTTGTTCTGTGATCTACAGGCTGCACAAGAACGTTACACGTGGCTTGTACGAGATGTAAATAAGTCGCACTGAAAACTCCCTGGAGTCTGGTGCTAAAGTCGACAGCTCAGTGAAGTTATTCTGACTGAAATCTAATTTGATCCTTGTCATTTCGTGTTTACTTCAGTCGTAGTCCTGTTTTAACCGGTTCATGTTTGAGGATTTTGTAAACTAAAAACAGGCGTGTTTCTCTGCAGGACAAGTATCTTTCAGACATGGAGGAGCTGTTCTGTCAAGTAGACGAGAAGCGGAAGGTCAGTGTTGATGAATGGAAACTAAACGACTCACTTACATGCAAACATCACCCGAAGGCGACAAAAGGAATCCAATCTGTGGATGTAGAAAAACATAACTTACTGTCCACTCTTGCCCGAAAAGTTAACACAAGTTAAATGTAGTGTTTTGTTTTTGTGTGTTTTCGACAGAAGCGAGAGATCCCAGACTTCTTGTGTGGAAAGATCAGCTTCGAGTTGATGCGAGAGCCGTGCATCACTCCCAGTGGAGTCACGTACGACAGAAAAGACATCGAGGAGCACCTACAGGTAAAAACTCCTCCCACAGAGTTACTAAGAAGATGTTCAGGCCACATGTGTCAGATTTACTGCTTCAGTAAAAGTACCACACAAAAAAAAAACTCTGTGACAAGTACAAGTCCTGCATTTAAAATGTCCCTTCAGTAAAAGTATGTGAGTATAATCAGGAAAATGTCCCTGAAGTATTAAAACAGCACTGTCACGTCTCCTCTCCTCAGACTCCTCCTCAGTAACGTGCAGCAGGATGTTGCTGCTGCAGCTCTTTCTGACCCGTTTAGTTTCAGATTGCAGCTGATGATTCTTGTTGATTATTTCCTCCATCAAACCAAAGACTGTTTGGTTTGTAAAGATTCTGCTGTCACAGTTCCCCAGAGCCCAAAGAGACTCCTTCACAGCGCTTGTTGAGTCCAAAGCTCAACGTTATTAACAAACATTAAAGTTATTCTAATCAGAGAAGAAGCAGCAAATCTTCATGAGAGAAGCTGCAACATCCGGAAAAAAACTCTTCAACCATTCATTTTCTGTCACAAGACTAATTAATAAACTGTTGGGGAGGTTTGTCTAACAAAACAAAAATGAGATTTTATAAACTCGTCATGGGTTTTGTGTAAAAACCTTAATGTGTAGAGCAACTGAAGCTGTCACATAAATGTAGTGATGTAAAACACACATTTCCCTCTGAGATGTGGCGCGCAAGAAGTATTAAGATTCGAGTAAAAGAAAACAGTACCTCAAATGCGTACTTAAGTACACAGCACTTGAGTAAATGTACTTATTTATATTCCACCACTGCTCACTTCCTTCCTTCAGAAAGTCCCTGAAGAGCTACTTTGATCTCGACTGTGATTGAAATGGAACTAAATAAAAATAATTATAAAACTGGATTTATATTGTAACTTAAATACAGAAAGATCGAAGACAGTGTGCGTGCACGTGAAGGAACAAACGCAAGAAACAGGAACATAAAAAAACGGAGCAGGATTTCTTTAAAGAGACAAAAAAATTAGAGCTTTAAAAATGAGCAGTAATTAAGTTAAGGGAAAGATTTTAGGTAAAAATATGTTTGAAAAGACGAGTTTAAACCTGTTAACGTGTTCCCCAAACTGCTACACCAGCCTACTTATATATAAACATAAATTTTTAAAAGACGTGTTTGTTGTTTTCTTGCAGAGAGTCGGCCATTTTGACCCCGTAACGCGCACTCCTCTGACCCAAGATCAGCTCATCCCAAACCTGGCCATGAAAGAAGTCATTGATGCTTTCATTTTGGAGAACGGATGGGTGGAGGACTACTGACCAGGAAGGGAAGTCCCAGTTCACGGATGGAGAAAAGATCAGTGTGTTAAGAGCGGCTGCTGCTCTGCCAAGAGTTTAACTTCAGTTCAGACACGTCGCATGCAACATCAACATCAACCACAGCAACTTTATTCCTGTAGGGAAAGTTACTACGTGATTTACAGGAGGAAGAAAGGGAATCTATAAATGCGTTTAGGAGAGATGAATGTACTTTTAACCCGCACAATCCAAGTTATAAAATCAAGAGAAAAGCCAAAGAAAACGAATCAGAAGCTTTTTAAAGACGATGTCAGTAGAGGGCGCTGAGTGTTAAACCTGCAGCATGAACCAGCTGTGGAAGAAGAAGTACTCACACCCCCTCCTCAGTAAAAGCAGCAAAACTGCAATATAAAAATACCGTGTTGCAAGTAAAGGTCCTGCATTTACAGTTTTATTTAAAGGTAGAATTATACAAATATACTTACTATCAAAAGTAAATACTTATTGTGCAGGATGGCCCCATAGAGAGAGTTATTTTTTATTTTATTTTATTGCTTCAGCCAAATTGAACGTTTTTCTAACTTGTTGGGTTTTTTTAATTTATTGAAGTTGTTCACATGCTTTGTTTGTAAAATCCTAATTTAAGGAATCGCTGTCAGATAAATGTGGAGAAGTTATGAGTACAGTTTCGCTCTGAGATGTAGTAAGATGTGTGAGGCTGAATTATTTTGGAAAAAATCTCTTAATTCCCATTTTTTTAAATTAATATAATAATTGCAATATTATTTACGATACTAGAGAGAAATATAATTTTTACATTATTCTCATTTACATTAACCATCTGGTTTCTTCAGTTTTCACTCAGGAGCAAAAATCTGCCTTTGAACTTGAAAGAAATAGCGATTTGACGTTTATCCTGATAATTATCGATATCGAATGCTTTGAATTGTTTTTATCGTGTAAACATTTTTGGCCCTAGTTTCACCTTCAACACATATTGCGGCTTCTGTGATTTAAAAAGTGCGGTATTGCAGTTTCAATAAAAATTTCAAATAATTGTTTGAGGGAGAAAAGTTTCACGGGCGTCGTGAGTGCTGGTATTTTTTATGTCATTTGATTAAAAACCTTTCACTTGAACTAGGATTATTACAGTAACTTAATAAAAAACATAGTGTGTAAAACAGGTACTTATTCCTCCAAATTATAGCCGATTTATCAGCCCTTTTTAATAATTGTTTTCGCCAGCCCTGGCGAAGTACAAGTAGCAAAACAGTACATAAATATATAAATATACTGTACATAAACAAACATGTTTCTCTGCACCTCACTGATCCTGATTCATCATCCAAACTGGGCTCATTAAAAACAACACAAACAGGTCAAAATGTCTTAAAATGACAAACAAGCACTTTAAGTTTTAACTCTCAAAGTTTAAGGGTACAATGTTGATTTGTATTAAAAGTACTGCGGCTGTCAAGTTGTTTGTACAGAGCGTCCATGCTGGAGCTGCTTTGGAAAGTTCTTAAATTCATCAGAGCAACAGCCCCTTTTGGTTTCTGTCCCGTGTTTCCAGGGACCAGTAAGGGCCACCAGTAGGACCAGTAATGAAGTATGTTTGAGTCTGAATCAGCTGCTTCGTTTCAAATTTCCTCTTTGGTCATCTGTATCTCTGAGGTCAGCGATTATTAAGTCATGTGTGCCATCTGGTATTGATCATCAGTCCGTGCTGTAATCCATGCTGCGGCTCAGAGAGGGAACGAACTGCTGACTACAATCACATTACTCACTCAATCAGATTATGTAAAAACTGCAGTTAATGTGGGAAAGTGTTGCGTTTGCCGCCAACCAAAAGAGTAGGAAACTGCAGCGCTGCAGCAGAGATTGGTGGGTGGAGCAGTTTTTGTTGTAAAGATCATTAAATTGAGATTTTACTGGTTATTTTCTGGTTTTTATGAGTGGAGTCTGGTGCTGCTTCTTTGTGCAAAAACTAAATTTGTGTTTTGTACTCGTTGATTATTAAGTCTTGTTTTGTAATAGTTGTTTTTCCAGACTTTCTGTAACTTGGTATTGACAGCAGTGTGCAAATATATCGCTCGTCTTATTGGAGCCTGATATCAAAGTTAACTCTGATGTCTCATGTTTAATTGCACTTTTTAATTCGTTTTAGACAGAATTAGCTGATTAAATGTTTCCTTCTGTTTTAAATGTGACGATTACAATCCAGCTTTGACTCAATCCAGATAAAGTCTGATTTTCTGTGAGTTTCTAAAACACTGAAAACAACTGAAGGAAGCAGATTTACTTCTTTAAGCTGGTTTTCAGTTTTCCGTCTTCCTGCACAAAAAAAAACACCTTTTCTCAGCTGCACAAGTAAAGATACAGAGACACAGATGTTTGAAATTGTTGTGATAAAATAAATGTTTCACGTTTTCTACATCTGAGTTTTACTTTATTCTTCTCCTCTCCGTCCGTCTTCACACAAGATATTGCTGCTGTGAAATCTGAAATATTAAAGAAATGATCTGCAAACATGTTCCAGCTCCTCCTGGCGGATTCCAGGCCAGATGAGATATGTAATCCCTCTGGGGTTTTCTAGGTCTACCCATGGGTCTCTGGCGTGCCCTCCAACGGAAGGCTCCCAGGAGGATCCTGACCAGATGTCTGAATCACCTCAGCTCGACTCGGATCTCTCTCCAGATGTCCCGATCGTTTCACCCTCTGCTGCAAACTGCCCCAGTGCATGCTAGTTTCTGAAATCAGATCTCTGCAAAGTGATTAAGGTCTACGACTGTAATCTTTTCATTCAATGTTGTAAAATATAAAAGCCTTTTACAGGCGCTGTAATATCTGAGCAACACACATCTGCTATGCAACTCTTTAACTGTTATCAAGGGAAAAACTGATTGGCTTACGTGTTGAAATTTCATCCGTAGATGATCCTGATGTTGCGAGTTTGGCCCAGTGGTTTCTAATGAGAAGTTGAAAATAGGTTTTGGGGAAAATTGAGCAAAATTTAGAAATATTTATAGCAGAAGACCAGATACAGACGAGTTGAAAGGTGAAAATGATGAAAGAATTTTGACTCGAGCTGTTTCAGATAACTGTGAAAATGTAAAGTTGATTGTTACAGCGCCACCTTGAGATGGACATAATTTTGACAGTCGCAATTGCCCCGGGGAAATACGTTTCAGCCGCTGCAGCCGGTCTGCGTCTGGTGTATGAAGCATCTACTGCACGTCAGGGCCGTGCGGAGACCTTTGGAAGGGCAGGGGCTCAAAGTATAAAAGCAGCACATGGAAGAAGGATTTAAATGGGGCTGTTCTCCAAATATCGATACAGAAATATATTGTTATGTATTCCTTGATTATATGCGTATACAGATGCTTCTGTATCGATACGTCAACAAATGCTGTGACACAGTTTTGAAAAAGAAACACAGGGAATACCCAGATCTAGCTTTAAAACACGGTGGGCTGACATAACTTACAGTTGCTGTTGAGGGGTTGCTGGGAACGCTGCTGCTGCTGCTACTGGTGGTGATCTGTGACTGGAGATATTATAACAAACATGGGATATATATTAGCTAATTGAACAAATGTGTGACCATGACAAGATGTAAAGATTGCTGACAGTGTTTGGGACTGGTTCACTATAACTGACCTGCTGTAGCTGCAGCTGCTGCCAAGGCTGACTGCTACGAGACAATAAGAGGGAAATAATCTGGGAAGGAAACAGTACTGGGAGAAAGGACTAAGTTAGCCAAGGCAGGGGTAAGAGGGAGACAAATCTATAGACAGGTGTGTGTGGGTGTCTATAGGCAATATTGTATTATGAATCTGAGATATATTTGGATTTTGATTGACTATATGTCTAATCATAAATCTAAAAAGTTGTGTGTGTGTGTGTGTTGATTCTGTTGGCCCAGAATAACCATGACAGAGCAGCATTTACCTTCACATTAACATTTCATACCTTTCTCTGAAATCTAATTGGGCCATTTCTTCTACACGCTTTACTTTGATGTCAGGAATATTATTTATTTTATATTGACACTGACATTATTACATGTATTTCCAGTTATTTAGTTCATATAATATGTTTTCTATTAAATCTATTCAAATACTGTTCAGATTTAAATGATTGTTTTAAAAAGGGCTGATAAGTCGGCTATAATTTGGAGGAATAAGTACCTGTTTTACACACTATGTTTTTTATTAAGTTACAGTAATAATCCTAGTTCAAGTGAAAGGTTTTTAATCAAATGACATAAAAAATACCAGCACTCACAACGCCCGTGAAACTTTTCTCCCTCAAACAGCAAGAACGAAGTGAACAGAGCAACTTTAGTTTATCTGTGTGCAGAAGCAACGTTAGCTGTCGGCACAGTGTTAGTCAGCAGCTAACGTCACTTCTACAGGCGACACACAGCAATATACAACTACTGTGCTGCTCTCTTTGTGTCTTTCTTGTCAAATACATCCAACAACCTACAACAAGCACATTGCGGTGTCCTGTAGTCAGAGCTGCTGAATCACTAACGGTGCGTGAACTGGAGGGCTCGTCACGGATGAGGTCATCAGGAGAAAGGTCAAAATGTGGGTCATTTTATTTACTGCTAAAGTATTATTATTAAGTCGTTTACTAGTAGTTTGCCTTCACAAAAGGACCTTTACAATTTAAAAAATTAATTGATTAATTAAATTTGTCATTGACAAAAGAGCACTTTAGGCATCAAAGGGCACCAATTGCACCCCCCTCTGCACATGCATGCTGCACCTATTCCAAAAGTCTTTGTACTTTCTAGTCTTTTCAACACCAAAATATGTGAAATAGAGCCCAGGTTTAAAAATACTGAAATTATTTATTAGATAGATATTTATTGGGTTTATTAGATGGTATCTGCCACAGTGTGACGGCACCACAGGAAGGAATTTCAAATCTCAATTATCAACAATAATGCTGATTTAATTTGTCAGCAACTCTTTTCTCTGTGCAGTTGGCCACTTAGTAAAGACATGAATGTGATCTTGAGCTCTTTGTCATGTATGAGCAAACTGTGCAACATTAAAGTGCTTATAAAAAATTTAACACTGAATGATAATAGATAATTTTTTTTTTACTGTAAATGAACTGACTATTACTGATTGAGGTTTCTTTTCACACAGGCAGGATGGCCAGACCCCCCCCCCCTATCAAACACTTAACAACTTAAATAAACAATCAAAATAAGAATTTATATGGCTCCTGCTTTATCAATAATCCCCACTTTGATACTCAGTTCACTATTTATGTAATGAAACCCCTGGTCTCCATTACATTGGGGCTAAGGATGGTGATCACTGGGAGTGGGTGTCGGCTGATTTGAGAGATATCATAGAACAGAGCTCTAAATAAGTCTCTGCATGTCCTCGGCCTGCGATGGAGGTACAAGGTACATTTCATTTTACAACAGGGCTGTATCATGAGATTAAGTGTGACGTTCCCTTTGTTACTCCCAAAACAAACATCATATACAAAAATTATAAAATGACGTATAGAAATAAAACTATTAGGCATGGAGCAGTGCTGAGGATGAATTTCTCACAGCCTGAGGGGAGAAGCTGCTCTGCAGTCTGGTGGTACGACAGCAGATACTTCTATATCTCTTCCCAGAAGGCAGCAGGGTGAACAGTGGCAAGTGACCAGTGGGGGCTCAGAAGATCCTATCTTCTGTCCATTGTCAGATTTCTCTCACACAAATAAAATCTTTCAGCAACACCTTTTCTCTCTGCTGTTGGCCACTTAATGAAGACACGGATGTGATCACGCCTCAAACCGTTGTTATTCTGAGCTATTTGTCACGTAAGAGCAAATTGTGCTACATCAAAGTTTTGTTTTACAACACATAATGATAATAGATGTGACATTTACTGTAAGTGAGTTACAGAGCCACCTGGAATTTACTACGCAAGGCTATAAACACAGAGTTATGAAGGCGCACAGTAATAAAACGTATATTACAGTCTGTAGATGATCCTGACGTTTTGGGGCAATTGGCCCAGGGGTTTCTGATGACAAGTTGAAAATAGGATTTTGAGATAATATATGTTCTGAAGCCTAAACTTAATTTCCTTAGAAGGTTTTACCAAAGTGAGCATGTAAAATTATTAACATCTCTTTAAAGACCAAGATTCTCCCACCACAGCTCACAGTGTTAATCTAGGAGACCTTTTTAATGCACATTGAAAGATGTGGTGCTCAGAATCAAACTGGATCCTCTGTTTATTCTATGTGCTCTTTGCTCTTGAATACCTGGAGTCCACGTTTATGGCTTCATTATCTGTATGAACTCGCTGAAATGATTTGGATTACAAATTTTCCATCTTGAGCAAACAGAGTCACACCTCTCTGATCCAGGCTGTTCAGCTCCTCCACTGATTACAAGACATAGTTGGAAGAATCGCACCATGGAGGTGAAGCTGTTAGGTTGTGGCGTCCTGCTCGTGGTGTTAGCGGTTACAGGTGAGCTGATACTGTCTCAGTAGAGGATCACCTGATGTTTGTGTTCTTAATGAAAAGAAATCTTAATAGAAGAGACTGACTCTTAATTCATACTGTAAGGTGGCTTTAGTCATTGTTTATTAGGTTAAGTCAAGTTAATTATTTTTTTGTAAATAATATTTCGAGTTAAATAATTACAACAGAATATACAAATCAAAAATTAACGAAAGAATGAAGAAAAAGAAGAACTTTGCAAGCAATCTGTAACCCAGTTAACATTTAACTTCATTTACAAGAGAACTGCACTTAAGCACTTACATTTGAAACACTAATTTGAGAATTTCTGTTTCATGTTGTAGTTTATTCAAGCTAATGTAGAGATTATGATTTAACATTGAAAAACACTTGCTGTAATAGCCAGTCAACAAAATGATGTAAACAGGGAAATAAAAATACAGAGGCTAGGTGATGTCAGTTTTTATGCTAAGCTAAGTTAGCCAGCTGAAGGGCTAGCTTCATATTTTCCATAAGGCAGGGATGGAAGAAGTTTTCAGATCTTTTACGTGAATAAAATGATCAATTCAACAATGTAAAAAATCCTCTGTCACAAGTACAAATCCTGTATTTAAAAGCTTTATTATTATCTGTAAATGTAGTTAAAGTATCAGTAGTAAAATTACTGGTTGTGCAGTAAATGTCTCCTGTGACTTATATCAGATTTTATCTGACATTATGAGATTATTAATTCTGAAGCAGCAATGTTAGAGCAGCATTTTACTGTTGTAGCTTAACTAGTTTTAAATACTCTATATAATGTACGCTGGTTTAGTCCAGGGCTTCTCAACTACATTTCTCAGAAATGTACATTTCAAAATCACTGTACAACAAACAAGCAGAGAGTTTCCTATAAATAACAAAATGCATTATTCTTTGTCTCTCCCACAGGGAGCAACGCACAGTTAGATGGTGAGTTCTCATATTTATTAATTTAATTTCTATGCAAACAGAGAAGAGTACGGGTTTCTGCCGGGGTCAGTGAGGGAGCAGAGGAGGAGCCACCACTGGTTTTCCTCTGCTCTCAGGACAGGCAGTTAATTATGAACTTATTTTCTTTTTGACAGCATTAACGCTCCGCTGAATGCTGGATATGCTGCGGTGACTCTCCTGAGTTAAGCATTATGTGGATTTGGATTTCTCAACGGAGGTTACAAACACCTCTGCCATCTGATTTGAAGTTCAATGATAGTTGTTGTTTCTGCTCCATTTTCAGAATATGTTTCATTAACAAAAACGACCAAAAAGCAGCGATTAAAAGCCATTTAGCTTGGCGAGATGATAAAAGTGGCATCGGTTGGAGTATTTAGGATTTTCTAACCTGAGATAAGAGAGGATGAAGTAAGATAAGATAGGATTCCTAAAGTTAGTTCGGATTTGCTTCTGTAATACCAAATTGAGAAAAATCCTATCTTTGACTCTTAACTTAAGACTTAAGATAGGAACTTTCTGTAATACGGCCCCTGGTCTGTAAATATTTTCACAGTTTTTACTCTTCAGACCTTTTCCTCTTTGGCTGTTTCTCAACCATTTCTCCTTCTGGGCAGAGCCTAGTCCTAGAGCCCAGCCGTGAGTCCTGCATGTTTGAATGACCAGTGTAACGTTAGAGAACTCTCCCTCTCCCACTGCTCCTGTGCACGACCACCACCAATGTTGCTGTCCCTTTTAAGTGTTTCACTATGTGCATTTTGCAATAGTAATGCAGCCTACTTCCTGAAGATTTCCCATCATTTTATTAGAGCTCTAAGTGTAGTGTGCATTTGTACAGTCAAGGGTGCCTTACATTAGTAAAAAGCGCCCTCTATACAGACAACAACCATTTCTACAATTCCACAGGAGAAGAGAAACTTTGGCAGACACTGGTTTGTGTTCAGCATGCCACAGTCTTTACAGACCGCATGGGCTAGCAAAAGCAGCATACATAGTCATAGTCAAATTTCTGAACACAAATGCGAAACAAACTACAAATACAATATGACCCACAAACGCAGACAAATCATTTTTGCATTTATTCAAATTCTGTTTTTTAGTGGTGTCTTGCGCTGTAGTACAGGTTACTCATTTCTATTTGTGGATCAAGAAGAGTTTCTTTGTGGATTTCAAATCTATCTGTTTCTATTTTTGTTTACAAATTGCATTGTATTATATTTGTGACTCCTAGTCTGTATTTACAATAATATTGGCATTGATTTTCCCCCATAAGGATGCCACTAAATCTTAGTGGACCTTTAAAACAGAAACATAGTCCACACATGACAGACATCCAGACAGATGATAGCACCCAGAAAGAAATAATACAGCAACAAAAACAGCACCTGCCTGCAGCGGTTACATGAATTCTGTCTCCCTCCAGTTTGTGGCACTGCGCCGCTGAACACCAAGATCGTAGGAGGGGAGGATGCTGTTGCTGGGTCGTGGCCTTGGATGGCCAGTCTGCACTGGAGCACTGGATCTCATTTCTGTGGAGGCTCGCTGATCAACAACCAGTGGGTCCTGACTGCTGCTCACTGTTTTGAAAGGTGAGCTCTGATCCTGTCACATGACTCAGCACTTCACCTGTATAACCACATTGAGCTTGTATAGTGTAGAGCTGTGATTTCTGAGACTGAATTCTGACTTTTCATGAATTTAAAGAAACAACACAAAAACACTTTATTTTTAATCAAAGATTTATTGTCATTCTACAGTGCACTGTAGGAAGAAATTACGTGCAAAGTTCAAAGATTATGGATGGATGGATGGATAGCAGCAAAATAATAAACCTATTGATGATCTTAAGAAACAAAGGCGATTCATAAATTGTAAAATGATTTAGAAAATGATTTAAACCAGTGCGTTAAGTGGAAGAAAACAGGTGCCAGGACTCTCCAGTATCAGCTTCAACAATTCAACCGTTTCACAAATAAAACCGTTTTCTGATATTACACCACTGTGGTTAAGGTTTTAGTAGGGCTAAACTTAGTGTATTCATTATAATTTCCGATAATATTTTAGACTACTAATATATCTTACCACTGCTACAACATTAATTCCAGTTGGAGAAAACAGTCGTTTCATTTTTCAGTGTTGTTTTCATTCATTAAATTATTGTGCAAAAAAAAAAAGCTCTACATGGTGGTCAGCCTCTGATCTGTTCATGCTGAGTGCTAACTTGTCAATAATCATAACATTTAGACGATAAGATATTTTAAAACTATTTGGCAGAAATAGTCAGTGCTGAAATACACGAGTGGGGGGTCTGGGTGTCCTCCCCCAGAAGATTGGTGAAATGTCTTTATTTATATGAAGGGAAACACAAAATGGCAGGTGACAATTCAAAATATAAAAATATATAACAGAACTTTTTCAGAAGTTTATTTGTGTCATTTTCCTCAGCAAGGCTTTAATTTCACAGCGGGCTCTGACATTGCTACACTGACATTATGAAATTGGGACAAATAACAGCACAAACTGAAGAATAATGAAAATTTAAAAAATGGTAATTTTATAATAACACAATGAACTCCAATAAAACTTTCTTACAGAATAAAGAACGAGAAAATGTTTACAATATTTCTCATGGTGACATATATACATTTTGTTAATAATCATTAACAGTCAAAGCAGTGTATATTATACATATATTAATATTTAATCATGTTTTATTTTCTGTTTCTCAGCACCAGCACATTCGGCCTCATCGTTTACCTCGGACGTGACTCCCAAAAACTCCCGAACCCTCACGAGGTGTCCCGGACTGTGTCCAAGATCATCAAGCATCCCAACTATGATACCAAGACGAACAATAACGACATAGCCTTGCTGCAGCTGTCCTCACCTGTTGCCTTCTCCAACTACATCAGACCCGTGTGTCTGGCGGCGGACGGCAGTGTCTTTAAAGCTGGGAGAAACTGCTGGGTTACCGGATGGGGAGACATCCGATTTGAGGGTAGAAGTCATGATTTTTTAAATACGTTGTTAATTGTGAATGATTTTATGGATTAATTACATTTTTATTCTTGTGATTTGCAAATGACACCACAAATTTATATAAACCAGAACCACTGCAGAGGAGCAACGAGATGACCTCATTAAAGTAGCCCAAGTATAACCCAGTGGTGAGGCGTACTCAGACTTTAAGATGTTAAGTAAATATACAGGACTGACACAACATCATAATGGCCATTTTATAATAAAGTTTAAAGGTCTGTAATTTTCTTTTTGTCGACAAATCTCCCGAAAAGACTCAAACCAAAAACATGTCAGTCCATCTCTCAGTACTGTCCTACTTCCTGTCTGTGGCTCTCCGCTCCGAGCCCATTGGTACCAGCTTCTTTCAAACGACCTTACAAACATACAGTGTAGTTTATTTTATTTACTTAAAAGTTACAATGTGCATTAACCATCATGAGTAGTCCATTATGTAAATGTACCAGATTTAGCCATACAAGCTCATTTTCTTCGGCACTCCCTGGCAGGTTGATGATATGACAGAAAACATTAAAACATACACAGGAACATAAGCACAGCCAGAAAACTCAGGAGCATAGATAAAACCACATAAATTCAGAGCACATAACAACAAATACAGAGCACAAAAAAACACATACTGAGCACATAACAACACATACAGAGCACATAAAAACAAATACTGAGCACATAACAACACATACTGAGCACATAACAACACATACTGAGCACATAACAACACATACTGAGCACATAACAACACATACAGAGCACATAACAACACATACAGAGCACATAACAACAAATACAGAGCACATGACAACACATACAGAGCACATGACAACACATACTGACAACACATACAGAGCACATGACAACACATACAGAGCACATAACAACAAATACAGAGCACATAACAACACATACAGAGCACATAACAACACATACAGAGCACATGACAACAAATACAGAGCACATAACAACACATACAGAGCACATAACAACAAATACAGAGCACATAACAACAAATACAGAGAACATAACAACACATACAGAGCACATAACAACAAATACAGAGCACATGACAACAAATACAGAGCACATGACAACACATACAGAGCACATAACAACACATACAGAGCACATAACAACAAATACAGAGCACATGACAACACATACAGAGCACATAACAACACATACAGAGCACATAACAACAAATACAGAGCACATAACAACAAATACAGAGCACATAACAACACATACAGAGCACATAACAACACATACAGAGCACATAACAACAAATACAGAGCACATAACAACACATACAGAGCACATAACAACACATACAGAGCACATAACAACACATACAGAGCACATAAAACCAAATACAGAGCACATAACAACACATACAGAGCACATAAAAACAAATACAGAGCACATAACAACATATACAGAGCACATAAAAACAAATACAGAGCACATAAAAACACATACAGAGCACATAACAACAAATACAGAGCACATGACAACATATACAGAGCACATAACAACACATACAGAGCACATAACAACAAATACAGAGCACATAACAACACATACAGAGCACATAAAAACAAATACAGAGCACATAACAACAAATACAGAGCACATAAAAACAAATACAGAGCACATAACAACATATACAGAGCACATAACAACAAATACAGAGCACATAAAAACACATACAGAGCACATAAAAACACATACAGAGCACATAAAAACAAATACAGAGCACATAACAACATATACAGAGCACATAACAACAAATACAGAGCACATAAAAACACATACAGAGCACATAAAAACAAATACAGAGCACATAAAAACACATACAGAGCACATAAAAACACATACAGAGCACATAACAACAAATACAGAGCACATGACAACACATACAGAGCACATAACACATACAGAGCACATAAAAACAAATACAGAGCACATAACAATCACATACAGAGCACATAAAAACAAATACAGAGCACATAACAACATATACAGAGCACAAAAAAACAAATACAGAGCACATAAAAACAAATACAGAGCACATAAAAACAAATACAGAGCACATAAAAACAAATACAGAACGCAAAAAAACAAATACAGAGCACATAACAACACATACAGAGCACATAAAAACAAATACAGAACGCAAAAAAACAAATACAGAGCACATAACAACAAATACAGAGCACATGCCCATACTGATGTCTCCTATTTGTCAGAACAATATGACACACAAAAGATATCAGCATATAAGGACACACAATTAGAAAAAAACAACAACACAGAAGCACTGCTGCAAATTATGACATCATATTTGATTATCCAGTAACTACTGCTTTATGGCTTTGGGGAAGGAGTTGAGAGATATAATGTTCCTTAGTTTTGTGGGTATAGTGTTCCCAGGTATGTGCTGCTCGACAGGAGAAGGCTGACTGCCCAAAGGAAGTGTTTCTATAAATATTTTGCCTGCAAGTAAGTTTTCAATAATGATATGAATTTGATTTTTATCCAATGTTTTCAAAGCCTGAGGCCCCATCTACACTACTCTGTTATAGCTTAAAAACTGAGTTTTAAAACCAATACCATCTCCGTCCACACCAGCATTTTAGCTGAGCTGATCTCAGCCTACATTAAAATGACTGAAAACGCACATCTAGCAGCCGTTCACGTACACTGGGCATGCACGTGCTGGTGTAAACATGAAGCAGATTGTCTCTTCCGTAGTTACAAAAGATTTGACGAAAGAATAAAGTACTACAGACAAAGAATCACACCAGATTTTTTTTGCATGGACCAATAACGAGCTGGGACTGTTACTGAATGTAACACGGGAGTTTAAAGCGGCCGTGGCGGCGGAAAACAGACTGGGAGTTGTCGCAAAGTAAATACGCTGACATGCACAGTACAAGTGTAGGCAGATAAGTGTTATTTGCACAGTAGAGAATATTTTAATAAAAATACCAATGCAAAAACTCGCATCGTGTTTCTTATGAGACCACAACAGAGAGCAAGTCCTCCGTTTTTGCCCGTCTTCACTAAAACGTCCTCCGGAGTTTCAAAACGAAAAACAGGGTCGGCAGCATTTACATACTTCTCCATTTTAGGTCTTTGTTTTCGTCTTTTTAGTCTGGACACTAACGTGCAGCTTCTTCCTGGACGCTGTGAGGTTTATATACTCCCTGGCTAAGAGCTCCTTTGTCCTTTGCTCTTTTGGACGGCACAAGGCACTTTAATGATGCTGTATGGTTTTAATTATGTGTTTATTATAGTTTTAGGTTATTTAAAATATGTTATAATAGTGTTTATCTTAAATTGTTATTTTTTCTGTACGCTACTGGACTGGGAAACGAATTTCGTTCCTTCCTGTCTGACATGGTAAATGACAATAAACTGAACTGAAACAAACAGAAGGAAATAGTGCATTAGTTGGGGACTATTTTCAGCGGTGGATGAATCCACATGTGGTGCTGTAGTGAGTTTTTGGGGCAGTAGGACTGTGTATGTGGGACTAAATCAGAATAAACTAGTGTGTTCATAGTGATGAAGGAACATGTGACCCAATGCAGCAATGAGGCACACTGATGGGTTTAATAGTATCTGGACAAGAATGGAGCTCTATGGCTCAGAGGAAGAAGAGTCACACACAGTGACAAAAAGAAAATTACAGATTCAGCTTTAATACTCTCTTTTTCATTTTCAGTTCCACTTCCTTTCCCAGAGAAGCTGCAGCAGGTGAGTGTTCCCATCGTGTCCTACAAGGATTGTAATGATGTCTACGGGATCATCACAAGCAACATGATGTGTGCCGGTCAGCCCCAGGGAGGAAAAGATTCCTGCCAGGTGAGTCTGTCTGCCAAACACTCCTCAATCAACTGATAACACACGTTTAAAGCTGCACTAATCAATAGATCTGTCGCTGGTTGCAGATGTGTTTATCCCCATCTGTATCCACGTTAGTCTCAGTCCCATGGTACCTTGGGGCTAAGTTGAAATCTCTCTCATGTCTGTTTGTCAAATACATTTTGCAGCATTTTGTATTTTATACACTGTGGTATTATTATTTACAGTGCCTTGCGAAAGTATTCGGCCCCCCTGGAACTTTTTGACCTTTTGCCACATTTCAGGCTTCAAACATAAAAATATAAAACTGTAATTTTTTGTGAAGAATCAACAACAAGTGGGACACAATTATGAAGTGGAACGAAATTTATTGGATATTTCAAACCTTTTTAACAAAGAAAACACTGAAAAATTGGGCGTGAAAATTACAGTTTTATATCTTTATGTTTGAAGCCTGAAATGTGGCAAAAGGTCGAAAAGTTCAAGGGGGCCGAATACTTTGGCAAAGGCACTGTAAAGGTTTCATATTAAACAAAATCTACTATTTCATATCTTTTCAACTTAAATATGTGTCCCCGGTGTGTCTAAAGACCCCAAACTATAAGCACAAACCATCCTCTATCTTCTGCTCCTGCTCAGTCTTTCAGTTAACCTGTGTGCTAGCATGCCACCATATGAATGGGGAGCACTGGCACCGATTTATTTCCATTTTCAAGCACTGCCGGCCGCTGAATTCAACGCTCTGAGTCGACCTGTTTAACAACACCAAGCAGTCGCTCCATCGCTGAGATGCAGTTTGTTCAGTGTGTCTCAGAGAGAAGGTGCTTTAATGGTTATGAAGCAAGGTTTTTATCGTTAACGACTGAAATAACGTTGAAAAAACTTTGTCGTTACTGAAATAAAAATAAAAACAAGGCTTTACAAAAAAACAATAACTGACTTAAACTGTATTGTAGGTTTGCAAAACTACCTGAAATAAACTAAAATGAAAGAGTAAATGTCTTTAGTTTTCATCTTTGTCAGTTTATTTCATACGGCCTACATAAGGCTATATTGGATATGTGGATATGAAGCTGCCTCCTGTACGCAGGATAAGCGGTTGACGATGGATGGATGGATGGATGAAGCCGGGTGCTTATGTTGAGGGGCAGGTGGTCTGGTCGGACTGTTCAGCGGTGCGGGCAGCGAGTAGCTGATAGGCTTTGTACAATTGTACAAAATAATACAAATGCAACAAATGTATAGAGTTAGCTGGTAATATGTTTTATTTAAAATGGGTTGCAGGTAGTGTGGCACTGCCTTAGTGGTTTTCTTTTCATTGCATTGTTTTTTCTGGTTTAGTGCTCATCCTTGTGATGAACTTGCCCCTAGTATATCGACAGTGAGCTCCCAGGTAAACGTGTCTGCTGGTCATTATATTTACTGCATGTCAGCTAGTGTGTGTTTTGTGGGGTCATTGATATCTCAGCCAAACTGTCTCTTTGTGACATGGTGCAGCGGCAAAGACTAAAACTAACACTGAATCTACATACATATATATATACACATACATATATATACATATATACACATACATATATATATATATACATACATACATATATATGTGTGTGTATGTGTGTGCACATAACCTTTAAAATTGTACTTAAGTACGATTAACTAATTATAGTTACTCTCCACCACTGTTTGCTGGTGATATAACTGACATGTCTGATCTCCGCAGGGGGATTCAGGCGGCCCGATGGTGAGAAAAACTGGTGCTCAGTGGGTCCAGGGTGGAGTTGTGAGTTTTGGATATGGCTGTGCCCTGCCCCAAACCCCAGGAGTCTACACCCGAGTATCCGAGTATCAGTCCTGGATCAACAAACAGATCAGCAGCAACAAGCCGGGCTTCGTCTTGTCTGGAACCGCTCACCTGGTTTCCCTCTCGGTTCCTCTGCTGCTGTCCATCATATATGTTCCCTTCTCCCTCTTTGTCCTTTCATAGGACGTTTAATTAAAGTACTTTTAACTCATATGCAGAATTTTCACTTTAGTGGAAACGTTACAATAAGTAGAAAACTTATTGGAGTCGACCATCTTTGACGTGCTAAAATTTAACAATTAAATTATATGTATGAAGCCTGGAGTGTCATTCTAAGCTTTTCAATGTTTAATTATAAGCAGTTAATAAAATTAAACCTTTTAAAAAGCAATTAATGACTTTAATTAATGCTTTAAACTTGAAGCAAAAAAATACAACAAAAGATAATTAAACTGACCAGTTAATGACTCTATTTACTTATTTTGTATTTAATGATACATTTATAATTGAAATGCAATTGCAAAATTCATTTTAAAAGGCTTGTAAATTGAACTAATTGAACTAATTGAACAATATATAATCTCACAGTTTATTTGTTTCCTTTCTTTAATATTTAGTTTCTATTTTTGTGATCGTTTAGATTTACAGTCTTTAAAAGAAAGATCTGTGAGCACCTTAAAATGAATGTTATTTTACTAAACAAATTAAGTGTAAGGTTGTAATATGTTTGGCTGACACATTAGTAAAAATAATATTAAATTTGAAAGCCTTAATATTCTATATTAAAATCAAATTATTAATTCATTATTTAAAGACAGAATGAAATAGCATTATTAAATCAATGTTCTTCTCTTTTTACACTGCATCATTTAAATATTATTTTAACAAATCAATTTAACAATGTTGATCAATTTAACTTTGTTAAAATGTAACTTTGTTGAAGTCTTGGATTTATTAACATGGTTATGATTAAACACTGAAAGTTTATAATTACTCCAGACTCCCATCAAAATCTATTAAATTCAATACTGATCAAATATATAAACAATAATGGTTCTTTCTTCAGTTTGTACGTGATTTATTTCTGTAAGTTTGTATTTTCTGTATTTATGAACTCAAATAACATTTTCTCTGATGTTGAATATCAGAACTTTAAAAACTTGAACGTGGCGATGTGGCAGGAACGACGATGACTACATGTTGCTTTTATTCATTTGTTATTAATTCATTCCTGTAATTAATGCCTTCACTTTTTTCACACTGAGCACCTGCAACTGCGATTTACTTTTTAAGGAGAGGGTACATGAAGAACATTCAAATTATATTCACAATTACGAACATTTTCACAATTATACATTTGCATTAACGAGGTTAGTCAAATGTTAGAAACACCTTTCAGTGTGTTGGGTTCAATAAGACAGGATTTATAGCAGAGCTGTGTAACTGGATCACATTGTACAGGTGTTATATATACTATTACTGTATACAATATACTATTACTATATTCTGAAATATGCGTGTTATGTCAGACTCCTTTAATACCTCCACCTCCATGCTGCTCTCTTATTATATGTTACCAGACAGACCCCTTGTTTCTACCTACAGAACATGTTTATATAAGGATGATAACCGTTTAAGGTTAAAAGGAGAGGGTCTTAAGTAAGTTGAGGATGCCATGAACTGTGTGTAAACTGTGAGAATTTGACTGTAATTTGCTGGTCTGCTTCCCAGCTGTAACAATAAAATCTTGGGTTGGACTCGGGCGCGTTCAGTGTTCTTTCTTTCTTTCTTTCTTTTGTGCATCGGCACTTATCACAACCTGCCGGTACTTGGAGTAGACGGAGTAGGGAAGAGATCAGGTGCCGATGCACATGCCAACATGTGAATGGGAAGCTGTGGTCACAGAGCTGACAAATGAATGCTGGTAACCATGGACATTTGTAACACATTAAAGAAGTGTTACAACCCACCCCACCCCTGTCAGCCACTGTTTAGCAAGCTTTTTTGGCATAGTGATTTGAAATAATGAGGGTAAAAATGCATCACATGTTGCCTATGAAACTACATTTTTATCTGATATAAGTCAAACAATTTTATCTGCAATAGTATGGATACTAAACAAAATATAGTCTTGGTCAAAAAATGACTTTCTCACCTCAAAATCTGTTTTTACGCTATATATTCTGAATGTAACTGTTTCCAACCACCATGCCTGATCGGGGATGAAGTAGGAAAATACTGAAACGATCACATGACTCCTGCTTGAAGTCACCAATGACCTTTTAATGTCGGCTGATAAAGGCATGTGCTCAGTCCTGGTACTCCTGGACCTTAGTGCTGCTTTTGACACCATTGATCACAACATCATGTTAGACAGACTGAGGCACTGGGTGGGGATCTCTGGTACTGCCCCAGAATGGTTTTCATCCTACCTGTCAAATAGGAAGTTTTGCGTGTCTGTAAACAACTATGTCTCCTCATTCTGTCCAGTTAAATATGGTGTGCCTCAGGGGTCGGTCTTAGGACCCATTTTGTTTTCCTTGAATCTGCTTCCCCTTGGACATATTATCCATAAACATGGCATTTCTTTTCATATTTATGCTGATGACACACAGATGTATTTGCCCGTCAGATCCACAGACCCTGGAATGCTGAGTTCACTTAACAACTGCCTTTGTGAAGTTAAAAATTGGATGTCAAATAATTTCCTCCAGCTGAACTCAGACAAAACAAAATCCTGGTCATCGGGTCCCAGCAGATGGCAAATCAAATACTGCCATCTGCTGGTTCCCTAGTAAATCACATTAAGCCTGTGGCAAAGAACCTTGGTGTTTGGTTTGATAGTAATTTAAATTTCGAGCAGCACACCACAAAGCTTGTTCAATCATGTTTTTATCAACTTAGAAATATAGCAAAAATTCGATCTATGTTAACTTTTAAGGACACCGAGACCATTTTACACGCCTTCATCTCATCACGCCTGGATTATTGCAGCAGCCTTTTCACCTGTTTAACCCAAAAATCTATTGATCGACTCCAGACTGTCCAGAACTCAGCTGCCACGCTTTTAACCAGAACAAAGAAATATGACCACATTACTCCTATTTTAGCTTCATTACACTGGCTCCCAGTATGTTTTAGAATTGACTTTAAAATTCTATTGATCACTTTTAAAGCTCTTCATGGCCTCTCGCCTTGTTATATTTCTGACCTTTTAGTCCCATACGCACCAGCACGTACCTTGAGATCCTCGGGCAGAGGTCTGTTGTCTGTTCCAGAGTCTCGACTGAAAACTAAAGGGGACAGAGCGTTTGCTGTCAGGGCCCCGAGGCTCTGGAACAGCCTGCCCGAGGAAATCAGGTCGGCTGAGTCAGTGAACTCTTTTAAGTCCCTTCTTAAAACATACTTTTATAGGAGAGCCTTTCCCGATCTTATTTGACTTTATTTTATCCCTTTTATTTTATTTATTTTATATTTATCTTAAACGTGTATTTTAGTCTTTTCAATGTTTTCATGCTTTTATCTTGTATTGTTATTGTATTATTGTCTCTTGGGTATTATTGTCTTTACACTTGTTAAAGCACTTTGCCCTGGGGACGCCGAATCAGGGAGCAGACCTGCTGTTGAGGCAGGGGCTGAGGCCCGGGGAATGGAGACTTCACCCCGAAGTGGTGGAGCTCTTGTGCGAAGAGTTCGGCCCCATAGACGTGGATCTGTTTGCATCTCAAGAGACTACGCACTGCCCGCTATGGTTTCTCTCGTTCCTCCAGCCCCGTTGGGTCTGGACGCCATGGTACACTCGTGGCCGAGGCTACGTATGTACGCTTTTCCCCCAGTCGCTCTGCTCCCGGGGTTCTGGAGCGGGTCCGCCAGGACTATGTCGGCCTACTGCTCGTAGCCCCGTTCTGGCCAACCCGGGTGTGGTTCTCGGACATCATGTCGCTCCTGGACGGCCTGCCGTGGCGGGTCCCTCTGAGGAGAGACCTGCTGTCCCAGGCGCAGGGCCGGGTTCTTCACCCTTGCCCCGCCATATGGCAACTGTGGGTCTGGCCCCTGAGGGGGCACAGTACCTAGAGGCGGGTCTAACAGCCGGAGCAGTCGAGACCCTCCTGAGCTCCAGGGCCCCGTCCACACGTAGGATGTACGGCCTGAAGTGGAGTGTTTTCTCCACTTGGTGTAGGGAGCGGTCGGTGGACCCTGTTACCTGCCCGGTGGTTCAGGTACTTGAGTTCCTCCAGGACCGGTTTTCTGCTGGTCTTTCCCCTTCCACCCTCAAGGTGTATGTGGCAGCTATTTCATCTTTCCACACCCCTCTGAGGGAGGGGTTCTTGGGGAAACTTCCCTTGGTTGTACGTTTCCTCCGTGGTGCCCGGAGGATGAGACCTGCGACTCGGTCCAAGGTTCCCACTTGGGATCTGGCAGTGGTTCTTGGGGCGTTGGCTGAGGCCCCCTTCAAACCCCTGGAGTCAGCTGAGGCTAAGCACTTGACCCTCAAGATGGCCTTTCTCCTTGCTATCACCTCTCTGAGGAGGGTGGGGGAGCAGGGTCCACAGTGCTGCAGGCATTTCATCCTCCACCTCATGTGACGGCGGAGGACGGGAGACTTCATCTGCTCTGCCCTGTCAGAGTATTTACACTCTGAGGTCCTCCCGTTGGAGGAAGGCTGACCAGCTGCTAGTGTGTTTTGGGTCTCCCAGGGCCGGGCTCCCTGCATCCAAACATACTATTAGCAACTGGATTGTTCAGACTATTTCCCTGGCCTATCAGGTGCGCGGTTTGCCTTCACCTGTGGCTGTGAGGGCTCATTCTACCAGAGGCAAGGCGGCCTCTCGAGCCCTCCTTTCCCTTTCCGGGGCCTCTTGCAGGATGTTTGTTTAGCGGCTGGCTGGGCCACTCCGCACACATTTATTCGGTTTTACAGTCTTGACCTTCCTTCGGCACCTGGCACTCGTGCGCTCTCCTCTTAGTTGTGCCACTTTATTGCACACTGGGGCAGGCGGGGTTTTCGGCACGGTTTAGTGGGTATCTCGTTCCCATAGTGTCGTAACCGACGCAGTTCGAGTTCCCTCGAAGGGGAACGTCTCGGGTTACGTATGTAACCCTGGTTTCCCTCGAAGCGCCTGCTTCATAGTTTAAGCTAATAATGAGTGTGTACAGGTGTGCTTTATACTCCTCCGGTTATTCCGTCACACCTTACCGTTCTAGCAACAGGCCAATAGGATTGGAGTGATTTCATTCACGTTCAGACCTGCTTCGCCTAGAGGCGTTCCCATAGTGTCGTAACCGACGCAGTCTCTCGTTCCCCTTCTCGGGGAACCAGGGTTACATACGTAACCCGAGACGTTCCCTCCTAAACGCCTGGTTCCTGAATTATTAAATTAAAAGTTTGCAGCCCTGGTGAAACCAGCTTCCATTATGAACATGTCTGAACGGTTCTAGTCTGGAACCGGCATATCCAGTTTGCAACAAGTAATCTGTTACTGGACTAAAATATCCCTTTAATTCATCATTATGTTAAACTAACCTGTTAAGCAAACAGCTGTGTGAGAAGGTCAGGTCAGGTAATGGATACAAGATAATTTCCAAGTCCCTGAATGTCCCTTTGATTACAGCTCGGTCAGTCAGTAAGAAATGAAAAAGCACTGCATTAGTCACTGTGGGTAGTTACTTTTAGTTTTGATAATTTAAATACTCACTTTTGTTGCCAGTGGTTTACACATCAATCGCTGTGTGATGTGTTATTTTGAGGGGACAGCAAATTTACACTGCTCACTATTTTACATTGTAGCAAAGTGTCATTTCTTCAGTGTTGTCACATGAAAAGATATATTCAGATATTTACACAAATGGGAGGGGTGGACTCACTTTTGTGAGATACTGTAAATACCTCTAATCGAAGTGATGGATTTATGGTGTTACCAGTGTTTACTGGTTCATCTTGTTCCAAATTAAATTAATTTGTTCTCAGGAAGCCAGAGGCTGTTTAACCAGTTCGTTCCTGAGCAGGCAGCAGGAGTCTTCAATGTCTTGGTCCAGCTGTCAGTTTAGACACTTACAAGCATGGACTTCAGTAGGCCTATTTTAGGGGGGCTGAAACTACCCTAACATGATCCTAAGCCCCCCAAATAATAATAAAAAAGATAATTGTTAGATTGAGACAGTGCAGACATGTACTCAAAGAGAAACAAGAATATTGCTAAATATGATATGAATAATACAAATATAATTTGTATTTATTTATTAAAACAATCATTCTGGTTGTTTTTTCTGCTTCACAATTTAAATCCCTACTGTGAGGCACTAGCACCCTGAGAGAGGCTGCTTTTTGTGTGGGGTGTTTTGTTTTTTTCTAACAACAGGCATTTGTTGGCAGATCTAGGCACCGGGGCAGAGCCTAAACTAAATTATTTCATGTAATTTATTATATTTGCTTTATTCTGACCAACTTAACTTTTTGTATTCATGCTGTAATAAGTTAAATAAAAATGTAGACGTTGCTTAAATGTAGGTTAGGTTATACATGAGCATATACACACACATGAAAAATATAATAAAATGAATGCAATCATATATACATGCATCCATATAGTAATCACTACTCCAAATCTTTTATTTCTTCTGCCACCAGGTAATTAAAATCAGACAGTAGCCACTTTAAATAGGATCCTTATCAACAGCTTACGCATGTATGTTTGTATGCAAGCCAAACTACAGAGCAAAATCAAACTCTGATTGAACAGTGCAGTAACAGTAATTAGTGTAATT